TTTGGAGAAAGCTGTCCAAAAGTCATTGCCTGCTACATGCCCTTGTTTGCAGCGGTACCAGTGTTTGGCTGTCTGTGGGTGTGAGCTTTTTCATAACTCAACTCAGGCTTTGCTCCCTTGCAGTAGGGCCTCTCGAGACAACTGCTTCCACCTGAGCCAGCACGGTCAGGCCATGGCAAGGAGCAACCATCCCTAATCAGCAGGAGGGAGATGTGTCACAGCCCAGAAATCTCCCAGAAATCACGTCAGTGAAATATAGTCAGCTTTGACTGTGACCTGAAAACAGCACTTCCCTCCATCTATTCCTGGAGCTTTCCCTGTTCATTAGCCTTCTTGGCCCCCAGGCTTAAAAAAATCGCCCAGTGTCATGACTCCTTAATAAGATGTCATCTTCAGCCATGACATACACGAGCACTCAGTAAATAATAGCCCTGCCATGTAATGTCATGCCTCTGCCATCTGTTGTAGCCATGACTGTGTCTCGCTCACCTGCCACCCTCTCCCGGCTGCTCTGTGTGAACAGCAAGAGCCAGGCCAGCCCTTGGCTGTCCTGCCCCTCTGACAGCTGCTGGGCTTGGTTCTGGGGTGGGCAGGGCAGCAAGCCCTCCTGCAGGGCAGGCAACGTGCTGGGACACAGGTGGAGGTGTGCAATCCAAAGTGGGAGAAGGGGAGCATGGCCCCCAGCACCTGTCTGCCCTGGGAGAGGCAAAGGGGCTTCCTCACTTTCTTCCCTACTTCCTTATTCTCATCTTTTTTTCTCATTGTATCTTCCTCTGTTTTCTTACTATCTTTCTCCTTCTCCCTTCCCTTCCCTTTACCTATTTCCCCACTTCTCTTTCCTTTCCTCTCTGCCACAGTCCCACATCCCTGTACTTGGTTTCTGCTGGCCTGTTTGAGCACAATCTCTCTGCTTTTGTTGCAAACCCACTTCCACAAAGCTCTCCAAGAATTGCCTGAGGGACAGAGCAAAGCTGAAGGCTTTGAAAAGCTCAACTCAGCAGTTTGGAACAGAATTCCCCTTCTTCTCCCCATCCTCTCAGTTTATCCATCTGCATATCCAGATTAATGACCCAGAGCAAACCTGTTGCCATGGGGTGGGTTTTTCAGAGTGGTTGGCTATGGACACTTAACTCTGCTCCCCCCAAAAAACACCTCCTCTCTGAGCCATGAAGAGGAGACAGCACTACAGAGCAGCTGTTGCTCCTCAGTGCTCAAGCAGCTCCCATTTCCCTTCTCCACATCCCATACCCATTACTCCCCCTCCTTGGTGCAGCCCCTTTCTGGGGCTGGAGGGGCACAGGCACCAGGTGGGAGTTGCAGAGCAGTAGGTAATTGTTGGTAGCAATTAAAAAAAAAAATTAAAATTGTATGGACAAATGAAAGCTGCTTCTAGCAGGGGGATTTCAAAAATGTAATACCTTTGGTCTGCATTGAATGAGACAGACACTGCCTTTTCAAGATGCTTTTTGTGCCCCCTCCCTTTCGTTTGAAATTTGGGTTACACTGACTGCTAAAGGATAGTGGGACGTGGCAGCACTGTTTGCCATGAAAACTAATAGGACCATGCCTGCTTTCATCAGGAGTGTAACCAGAGCCACGGATAATGTTTTAAAAGGCACAGCAGCTTCAAGTGCAAGCAGGGATTTATTAATGAAATCGAAACCACGCTCGAGGCTTTGCGAGTCTTATTTTAAGAGTCTGAAGGAGAAAGGAGCGGGCTGCCTGGCTGGGAGGCAAGGTGGCCAGAGCTCTGACACCAAGCAGAGGTGACAAGGGCTCACAGCGCTGCTGGGCTGCTGTTCTCACTCTGCCACAGGTAATCTGCACAACCCTGGTCATGTCACTCGGCTTCACTTCGCTTCAGCCTGCATGGGGGAAGCAGAATCACTCCCATACAACCTCTCTGTAGACAGATTATACTTCTGTATAAGTTAGAATCATGCTCCAAGGACACTTCCAATCTCTGCAGCTCCTTTGGGGCCCCAAAAGGACCCAAGGCAGTAGTCAAGGGTTCCCGCTGGAGCCTACAGTTCAGACAGCAACTCTGGGACCTTCTCCCACCCTGGCACTGCCACAAGACAGGACAGCCATGCATGGCAGGTGGGGACAGGATGAGAAATGGACAAAATGTCCCAGGTGGTGGTCACAGCAAGCACATGAGTGCTCATACTCAAAGGGTCTTTGGTTCTGCTACAGACAAAAAGTTCATTCGTATTTGAGGTCCCTGCTGCCTTGAAAAAGCAGTGGCAAAGCAGTGGACACTGCTGGAAGGCTGAATTGCCTGTTTCAGCCAGTTCTCAGTGCTCCTGATGCTCCTCAATAGACTCAACTCCTCTGTGCTTATGGTTGTCTAATCAGTCCTCAATTAGGCTGCAGGAGGTACAAATACAGTCAGCTCCTTCTGATTCAGGAGATGGCTGAGCATGACCTAAAAGTGCATTTGAAGGCTGAATTTGGTGCTAGGAAGAAAGGAGACTATGCTCCTGAAAGCATGTCTTGGTTTAACCCCAGCCAACAACTAAGAACTGTGAAGATGTTTGCTCAGTCTCCCTCACCTCAGTGGGGTAGGGAGGACAATTAGAAAAAGATAAAACCCATGAGCTAAGAACAGTTTAATAATTGAAATGAGATTAAATATAATATTAATAAATGATAATAATAATAATAATGAGGGAGATAACAAAAAGAGAGAGAGGACTAAACCCCAAGAAAAACAAGTGATGAATATAGAACTGCTCACCCTTCACTGACGATGCCCATACCACCCCCTAGCAGTGATTCAGTGGCTCCTGGCCAACTCCCCCCAGTTTATACACTGAGCATGATGATCTGTGGTATGGAATATCCCTTCACCACTTCGGGTCAGCTGTCCTGGCCATGCTCCTTCACAGCTTGGCATGTATCTCTTCACTGGCAGAGCATAGGAAACTGCAAAGTCCTTGACTTCGGGTAAGCACTACTTAGCAACAACTAAAACATCAGTGTGTTATCAACATGATTCTCGTACTAAATCCAAAACACAGCACTGTACCAGCTACTAGGAAGAAAATTACCTCTATCCCAGCTGAAACTAGGACAGAGCATGACGTGTTTAGGATCTGTTTATCCATCACAAGGGCGGTGTGGCTGGTCAGCAGGTGTGAGTTGTGCAGAAAAGATACTCCTGTATCCATTTATCTCCTTTTAAAAGAGGATAAAACCTGTAAAGCAAGCAATTCTGTTTGGAAAAAGCCAGTTGGAGAGGCTTCCTTATCCTCAGATGCCCTTGCCATCTGCACTCATAAGAAACCCTTCATAAGGTTCTCATTTCCTCTTTACCTTTTTTATATAGCCCATAATAAGATCTCTAACTTTAATGGACTGTATGGATCTTACTAGCAGGGAATGGCTCCAGCAGAGAAGCTTTAACCCTCTGTTTCAACAGGATGAGCAGTGGAGCTTTTTGTCCCTTGCTTGACTCCACTGCAGATGCTGGTAGGATTTCTACAGCCACCTCCACCAAAGCCCTCCCCACTTGCTGGGAGATGCTCAGATGTAGATGACCCATGTGGTGCTTCGGGGAATCTCAGAATCTGCTGAGTTGGAAGGGACCCAGAAGGATCATCGAGTCCAGCTCTTAGCCCTGCACAGGACTGTCCCCAAGAATCACACCATGTGCCTGAGAGCATTGTCCAAATGCTTCTTGAACTCTGTCAGCCTTGGTGTTGTGACCACTGCTCTGGGGAGCCTGTTCAGTGCCCAGCCACCCTCTGGGGGAAGAACCTTTTTCTAATATCCAACCTAAACCTCCCCTGACACGACTTCAGGCCATTCCCTTGGGTCCTGTCACTGGTCACCATCGAGTGTGTCTGCCCCTCCTCTTCCCCTCCTGAGGAAGTTGTAACTGCAATGAGATCTCCTCTCAGTCTCCTCCAGGCTGAACAAACCAAGTGACCTCAGCTGCTCCTCACACGGCTTCCCCTCAAGGCCCTTCACCATCTTTATTGCCCTTCTTTGGATGTTCTCTAACAGCTTCATATCTTTCTTATATTGGGGTGCCCAAAACTGCACACAATATTCAAGGTGAAGTGGAACAATCCCCTGCCTTGACCAGCTGGTGATGCTTTGCCTGCTGCCCCCCAGGACACAGTTGGCCCTCCTGGCTGTCAGGGCACTGCTGACTCATATTCAACTTGCCATTGACCAGGACCCCCAGGTCCCTTTCCATGGCACTGCCTTCCAGCATCTCATTCCTCAGTCTGTGCAAACATCAGGAACTTGGGAACTTGCCCCTCTCCCCCAAATGCTTATGAAGCAGTACAAGAAAAAGTAGCACCACTTTGCCAAGCTGGAAGGTGTGGAGGGAGCTGGGTTTGTTCAGTCAGAGAAGGCTCACAGGAGGTATTATATACAATGGAGCCACCATCCTCCTGGAAGTGCATGGGAGGCAATGGAAACACGGCACAGCAAGGGAAATTCTATCTAGATATTTGAAAAATAATTCATAGTGAGACTAGTGACTAGTGTGTTAGGAAAGCACACGGAAGGGTGACTTCTCTGGGCAGATTCTCCAGATAAAAAAAAAGCCTAAAGATATGACCCCAGGGGAGCACAAGTGGTCACAGTAGGGCACCACACCAGATCTGGATCTGTGTTAAAACCCTCTTAATGACTTGGGTAAGAGGCAGGAGAGAGTATAACCCAGCCTGAGAGATGTCACAGTGTCCCTTGCTTGGGGCACAGCTCCACTTGGATATCAGCAGCCTGGCTGGGATCTCGTCTGGGAAAAGCAGTGCATGGGAACTGATGGAGCCATTACAGAAGAGGGGGGAAGGCAGAGCCAGGCAGCAAGGATTCACAGAGCACGTGTCAGAAGATCTGGGCCGGTTCCTGGGTTCCTGACAGCTTCTTTCTCACAGAGCTCCTGGACAGGAGACAAAACGTGATTTCTTGCTCCTTCCACTCAAAGACGGCTGTGAAAGTCTGATTTATGCTGAACACTGGAAAAGAAAAAAGCTTGGCTGTGGAACCAAGTTCAGCTCTCAGCCAGGAGAACCTTGTATGGGATCAGCAAGTTTTAACCATGCAAATCAAATCTGAGTCCAAACAGAGCGCTGTTTCACGACTTCTGCCTCTCCCTTCCTCACTGCACAGGGCCAGGCTACCTCTTCCCTGAACAAGCCCTCACATCCATTCCCAGTGGCAGAGACAGGCTGTGAGATCGTAAAGAACTTTTTCCCTTTTTCTCTTTTCTTTTCTTCTTTTATTTCTTCTTCTCTTCTGCAAGGCACAGCCAAACACGTCACAGCTCTGTCTTTCACTGAGATGATCCCCAGCTGCCAAAATGTACTGGAAGAGGTCCACCTGTCTGTGAGCCTGTCACCAAGGGCTGTTTCTGAGCGTGGCCTCACACTCTGTGACCCCAGGCAGTCTGGAGGAGTGCTCAGGGCACTGGGGAGAAGGAATTGCTTGACTCAGTTATCAGCAAGGAAGGTGAGCAGGTGACCTTTATTGTCTATGTCCTTTTTTCCCCAGGTAGGTGCAGCAGACCAAAGGCCACCACATGTCCTTTTCCCCCAGACTCACCATCTCCTGAATGGCCCTGAAAATGGGTTGTGGGAGCGTTTGCTGGGGGGTCTCCAGTCACAGCAGCAGCAAATCCTCACCCTGTCATACAGGTGAGAGCGACTCAACAGCAGTGCTGATGCACCATGGAGAGGTGAGACCTCCATCCAGGCCTGCTCACACTGGGAGAGTCCAAGGTGTTCAGGATGCCCAGAATCCACTGTCTAAGGTGGGACCATCTCTGAAGCTTGTGCCTAACAATATGGTTTACAACAGGACCTGAATAAGTCCTGATGCACATGGACATACCCCCAGTGTACACACAGACATAAAATGAAAGGGAAGGAATACAAGTTTCAGAAGAGAAAGCTTTGATTAGATACTGGGGGAAATTCACCCTGAGCACAGGGGACCAGAGCTGTGGGGAATCTCCGTCCTTGGGAACATTCAAAACCTCACTGTACAAAGCTGTGGGCAATCTAATCCAAGCTGACTCTGCTTTAGGGCTGTTGGACCAGAGACCTTCAGAGGTTTCCAAGAACTTGAATTATCCTGTGACCTACATCCACAGCACCACCCAAGATTCTCTTGCATCATCTAGAGTTTCAATGAGCCCATCTGATTTCTGCTTCTAAATCAGCATGATCCTAATTTTCCCTTATGATTTAATCCCTTAATTCATTTGCCATAATCCTGCAGTATGTGGCTGGAGGAAGAGGAAACAATGCAGCAAAGCAAACAGAGAAATGCAACAAATGCCCATGAGAATAGTATATTACTCCTCTTCTTTCCTGATTGTCTTCCTGCCGTTCTGCTTCCATGAAAAATCTGTGGGATTTCATCCAAAGCTCCAGAATCTCCTCTCCAGCAGTGTCTGGGGACAAATGCTTAAAAAGAAAATAACAGAAACAGTGAGCATAGAATGATCCTCTCCCTGCTGCACCCTGCCAACCTCTGGCAACTGAAGCTTCAAGGACATCTGAAACTAAAGGCCACATCCAAACTTGAGCACTTGTAGTTACCATCTGAGAACCTGCCAGCAGAGTGAGAGCCACAACAGGGTGAGCTTTACAGGGTGTCCCAGGGAAAAGTATTTCCTTGTCTTCATGGGAAACAGGCCATCCAGTTCTTTCACTGGGCACCTCCCTGTGCTCTCTCACCTCATTGACGCTGCCTTGGCAAAGGTCATCTGAAACATGGTTACCTGAGGAGCTGAATGTTGTGTCCCTACCCCCTGTTTCTCCAAAGGTGTGAGTAAACTGAAGCACAGCTTTGTGGAGGAAAATAAACTACGTGGATACTCACCACTATTGCCCACTAACAAAGCACATGGTGGTGGTGGGAATCCCCCTCCATAGCATTTCAGGGTACTCACGGGTCATACAGCAGGCATCAGCTGCAAGAGGAGAGCAAGAGGATGCCTCGCCTGCCCCCACACTGACACACAGGGCTGGCTTAGAAAAGATGTCAGTGGAGTTTGGAAAAGAAGCAGAAATATGTATTTCCCTAATAAGCTGAAAACTTCAATAAATGTTTTCCCTCAGTAGGATGTAGCTGAGGAATCTGGGGACCATTGCTGGAGCCAGCCTCTCTGAGAGGAGAAAGTGAAAAGCCAGTCCAAGTGCAACAAATGCCTGGACAATAAAGGGATCTGAAGGGGTTCAAGGGTAGGAGGGATTTTTCGTCTCTTTGGTGTTGTTTCTTGATTAATATTTACATGTCAGAACCAGCAAAGCACACCTCCAGATCTCACATGGGATCTTTTTCTCCTTACTTGGGCAACAGAATGTATGGGCAGGACAATTGTGCAAACAAAGATGTGTGCCAAGCCCACTGCACTGAAGGGAAGAAATAAAAATACCAGTTATTTAAAACACGTGTATTAACAGAGGGGTTGACCTCTCCCCCGCCTTCGTGCTCTGCTGACATCAAGGAGGCAGATGAAAAACCTCGCTGGAGCATCAGACTGGCCCCAGCCCCTGAGGGATGGAGGGGCTTTGATTCACTGGCCCGTGGTCTCTCTGGCTCACCCATTGGCACCAGCACCATCACCCACGATGTCACACACACCTCTCTGCCCCAGAAAGGTCCTGGGGAGCAGAACACAGCTGCAGGAGAAGCTGGTTGAAATTCCCACCCCTTCCCTGGCAGGGAGAAGTACAGCTTTGATTTAAATTGGGCAGCAAGGTTATGATACCTGTGGGAATGGTTCTCTCATGGCTGAGCCTCATCTGCGTGTGGTTCACAGCATCTCCTGGGTACAGTGACACAAAACAGCCACAAAGGGACAAATCAACTTCATGCCAACAAGGCTGTAGCTTTTTCTTCTTCCCATGTGACTCTCAGTGCCCTCCTTCCCTGCCTTCCCTTTTCAAATGCATCAAAAAATTTCAACCCAAATGTTCCAAATTTAGGGGTGAACAGTGTTCCCAGCATTTTTACTTTGTAAGGGGGATGGAGGGATGCAGGATAGCAAAGGGCTGGTGCCACCCATCCCCTTGCTACTGCCTGGCTTTGCACCAGGCTGCCAATCCCTGAAGAGAGGTGCCAGGTCCCGAGGGGGGACCTCCATTCCCCAAGCAATCACAGCAACCTGATGTGGTTGCTCTCGCACAGCCCTCAGAGATAATGGGAGCTGGAAGGTCTTATCAACTTCTTGGAGGGCAAAGTCAAGCCCTTCAAATGAAAGCCCTTGAGGGAGAGGAGAGGATCTTTCCTCAAGTGTCAGGCACATTTCAGCAGTTTATAAATACTGTTGTTCTCTCTCTGCCACACTCAGCCCCGCAGCACTGACTGTGACATCAGCCCTGGACCCAAACTCAAGGAGCTGAGCATCTGTGCTCGACTTGGCCAGGGGAAGGCAGGGTCAGGCCTCAGGTGTGTTTGTTTCCAGAGGCACTTTCAGGTGCCATTACCAGGTTCAGCCTTTTCAGGTTTTAGCTCCGTGTTTTTTCCTATAAAGACCAAAGAAGGGGTTAAACCGAGCTTACCTTTTCAGGAGCGGGACAAGGTAGTCACTTGGATGGAAAGGGAGCAGGATTCAGCCCCTTTTTCTCCCCTTTCCACTCCAGTCCTCTTCCCCACTCTGTTCTCTCCTGCACATCCCACTGCAGAGCTGCCCCGGGTGCCCCCATGATGAGCTGTGAACCCTAATGACGGGACAGGGGACAATATCCTGCTGTCCTACTCATCCCACCCAGATCCTGACACCTGTCAAGGGCAGGAGGGCGATGTGGGGAACTGAACACAGCTTAGTTCTCCCCATCTTGATGCAAGGCACCTAGAGCTGTTTTCCAGTGAGATCCCAGGACTGAGTTTCCCCTGGATCCACCTCCTGTTTAAATAGAGGGGGCACTGCTCCGAAAGGTGTGCAAGGTTTTGGGGGCTGCAGGTGTTATTCCTCCATCCCTCGGAACAAAAGGAGCATCCCGAGGCAGAGACTCGAATCTCTGCTAAGGTAGTCAAATCCCACCTGGCAATCGTGTTTTATCCCCGAGATGAATTCTGGGGTGGGCTCAGCAGAGACCCCAAAAACTACACAAGGACTGGCGTTGTGGCTGGACTCCCGGGAGAGCAGCTGGAAGGGGTGAGACGGGGGAATGGATTTGCCAGCGATGCCTCCTCGCAGGACACCGGCCAGCCCGCCCCGTGCCGGTTCCTGTCTCTGCCCCCGGGTTCCTCCTAACGAGGTTTCCAGCTCGGCTGAACCCCCGCGTTGCTTTCAGGTCCGCAGCCGTCCGGGGCTGAACGGGGCTGGGGAGGGAGCCGGGGGCCGCCGTTCCCATCCCCCGATTTCTCCTCCCCAATGTTGCCGAGCGTTCGGGTTACATCAAATGCGAAAGCGCGGCAAAACTGGGGAGTCGATGCAGAAAATACCGTCACTGACTCATGTAAAGACGGGGCGAGGGGTTATAAACCCTGTGCCAGTGATCCCTTTGAAAGGGGCTGCTGGGGTTGCTTTCGGCGGTGGTCCCCGCGCCCTGTGCAGGAGTTTGTGATGGAAAGTCTGCAAAAGCCATTAGGATTTTTGTGCTGGGGCACTAGAAAAGCAACGCAGACACCACTCACTTTTCTAAATAAACATTAGTCTTAAAAAGTTTGCACTGCTGACCCCCGCAGCTCTGATTACTTGCAATTCTCTGAACCATATTTTAAGGCTTCTAACTATTTTTATTTTTTTTTTTCGGGGAGGGGGCTGGTTTCGTTCGTTCCTCCCTGCAGCCGTGTCACAGATGTGCCGTACTGTGTGCTCCGGGGGCGGGGGGGTCTCTGCCCACCCCCTAGGCAGGTCCTCATTCCACAGCCCTGCAGCCACAGCCCTACAGCATATTCAACTCCCTCCACGTTCCCCCGAAGAAGCTTTTCCTTCTTCCTTTCTTTCCTTTTTTTTTTTTTTTTTTTTTTTCTTTTTTGGAGTGGTTGGACCACATTCGTGGGCCCGGTGAAGAGATGCTGTTCCTCTCTCTTACTGGTCCCCGGGAGGGCAGAGGCGGTGCGGGCTGCGGCCCCATCCCCACCGAGCTGTGCCCTGAAACAGCCCCGGGACCCCTCCCCAACCCCCCCAAACAGACACATCTTAGCAGCGCGGCGGAGGCAGCTGCGCCGAGGTATCATCAGTATAATTGGAAGGGTCACATGTTAAACCCTCGCTGTTGTTCGCGGTAATGTAGCTGTGTCCCCCGGTTGCACATTTACCGATTTCTCGCAAACCAGCCATTGTCACAAGGTTCATTCCAGGAGGAGTGATCCAATGGGTTGCCACGGCAACTATAATGACATTAAAATAGAGGCGGCAGCCGCCGCCCTCTCCCCCCCCCCCCCCCCTCCCCATTTCCCCCACTCCCCTCTTCTCCCTGCTTAAAAACCGACAGCAGCCCGGCAAAATCCTGCACCTTTCCCGGCGGGGCAGCCCGAGAAATAACCCGAGTACCCAGAGGAGAACAAAGTGTGTTGGGCGGGAGGTTGGTTTATTTAAACCTTCCCAGGGAAAACGGCCGAGGAAAAACCCCCAAAGGCGGCGGGAGCCGCGCGGAGCCCCCGCGCCCGCAGAAGGCAAAATTGACCGAACCGGTCAAATTCCAGGCGGGAGCGGCGCGCGGACGGCTGAGGCTGGGAAGCGGGACGGAGCCGGGATCCATCCCTGTCCCAAGCACTCGCCGGGGGCGGGGACCAGGGTACAAACCTGAGAGTTCTAAAGCCCCCAGGCACCTGCGGGTTGGGCGATGAGACCCTCTCCCTTGGCCCGGCCCCGAGCTGGAAATCCGCTTTTCGCCACTCGGTTTTCCGGGAAACGTTCGTTTCCGAATGATATATCCTTATTATTTCTCATCGGAGCTGCTACCGTGCTTTCACGCATTTTTATTTTTCCCCACGAAATTTGGGCCGAGAAAAGGTGTTTTAAAAAAAGGACCTCCGTTTCCGATTATCACAAGACACCTTTCTCTCTTGATGAATATTTCTCTTCTGTCTCTCCCGGGTATATATATAAGCGCGACCAAGGAATACTGTGCAAAAGCAAAAGGTAAATTCTGACAATATTAACTATAATATCAGTTGGATCTGGCGGGAGGCTCCAATATGTTTGTTTTCCGTATGGGAAGATATACTGCCCGTCTTCCGTCGGCGACAGCCGATAGCAGTATCTGAAATCGGGCTCTGAAGGATTTCAGAGGCGCTTTCCGGAATCGTTTCCCCCTATCTCTGATTGAGGCCGGGAAACGAATCTTTTCTATCAATTTCCTCGCCATTTTTTTTCCCCACGTGAGCCCGTGGGCGAGAGTTTACCGGGCAAAGATGCAGGTGAAAGACCCGACAGCTCCACTCAAAACCGTGGTTTCATTACCTACACCAAAATGTCCCCGACACCTGCCTGCAGCTGGGGTAAATCCCCACTGCGGGAAGAACGGGGAACGTGCCCATGACTGGCAGCGACGAAAAAAATATTTTTTATTTTTTTTTAAAAAAAGGAGTTGGGGGAATTCTGAGTAACCCAAACCGGCGCCGCCCGCAGCCGCCTCACACGCGGTTTGCGGCGGCCGAGTGGTTTTCTCCGGCCGTCCCCGACGGCGGAGCCGGCGGCAGAGACACCCGCACCGGCTCCATCCAACGCCCAGAGCCAGGCAAGGGGGTGGCTCCGGACTCCCCCTTCGGAGCCCCCATCGCAGGGGTCGAGGTGCCCGAGGATGCGGGGTGTGAGGACACCGCTCGGCCCCAGCCTCCTGCGGGGCTGCACGACCCTCCTCCGGAGCTACCCCCTTCGCATATAACCTCTGTAATTGCCGTGGTACCCCCGGCAGTGGGGGCATCCTTTTCCTAATGCCACCCACATCTCAGCAGAGATGGTGAGGGGGGGATGCGGGGACCACCCCGCAGCCTGGCCGCAGGTTTCCCACCTCCGGCTGCAGCTGGAAAACGCACTTGGGCTGGGGTTTGTGTGACCCAGGGTGGGTGGTTGTGCCAGTCGCCGTTCCCGGGGGAACCCGAGGGTGCGGTCTCCCCTCAGGAGTTGGAGTGGGAAGAGCAGCAGAGATGGTAAAAGGGACCGGCCGGAGCCGCGGGACAGACGGAGAGGCGGCCGCGGGTGGCTGTCCCCTACCGCAGGGCTAAAAGGGCGTCCCTGTCCCCAGACACATATCCAGATCCTTGGGTGTGGGAACCTCCGCGGTGCGGCGGGAAGGGAGGGTAGATTGCCGGGGACGCGGCCTGGGCTCAGCTCGCCGCAGCTCCAGGGTGACCAGAAATGTTCTTTTGGGTGATTTCCTGAGCTCAAGAGCCGTCAAAACTATCCCCCTGAAGTACCCTCTTGGCAAGGGCTTATTGAAAGACATACATGGAGCAGAAGCACGCCCGACGGGAGATGGGAGCATCGCGGGGCAGGCGAGAAAAATGAAATTAAAACCAAATTAAAAAGAAGGAGGAAAGAGAGAGAAAGGTGGGAAACAGAAATTATTCTCCTTGTGAAACGTGTCGGGCTTCTCAGGAGCAACTGCAGAAGGGAGGCCTTTCCACAAGGGTGGATAAATTTACTCGCGTCCCACATGACCGAGGGTGGGGGACCCGAGGTGGGGGGTGGGGGGAAAGAGAAAGGTCATGGGATTGGGATTTGGGTTGTAAGTCAAAGAGAAGACGTGGATTTCAGTGCCGCGTTAGGTGGCAGAGGCCTCGGGTTTTGCAAGAGAAGTAATTAAATAGGAAGAAAAAAAAAAAAAGTGGGGTAAGAAGAGGGGAAAGCATTTCAGAAATAACACCAGTAAA